AGAAATAGATCGTTGAAAGAGGGAATTAGCCAACAAACAGGAAAGTGCAGCAAAGAAATGAAAAATGATCATGGCAGAAGTGAATTTCTGAATTGAATGTAAATGGGATTAGAGGAGACATCGCCCCGTGTGGCCATGTTGATACTGCTGCCCTTGAGAGATTCTAGACAGCTCGCTGGAGGAAGTTAGTCAAAGTAAGTTTACTGAAATAAAGACAATGGTTGTGACCAAAAGGATGAAATGTCACAGGAAGTGATGCCAGCAAAAAACTGCACATTCATTAAAGGAGCGCGGGATATTTTATGACATTAGAAATACAGAGGGTAAAATGTTGGAAGCTGATCCAAACTTGGGAGTTTGTCATTCACTAAGGCATAGAACAGATTTTCATTTTGCGCAGGAGTTGAATTATTGAAAAGTCACGGTTGCCAGGCGGAGGGGGCATACCACAGCAAGCAGGACCACAGCGGCAAGAGGCAGGGTTGGCCAGGAGGCGGTCAGGAGGCGGAGAGCGCAGGGGGAAATGCAGGCAAGAGCCTTTATTGTGGTTTCTGTGGGAAGGAATGGTGAAGCAGGGTAAGCAGGTTTGGCTAGTTTGAGTCATTTTAGGGCCGTCTGGGGCCTAAGGGTGGCCCCTGGCTGTCTGGTACCTGCTCCTGGAGTCATCATGGTGCAGAGTGTTAGGGTGAAAGAGGTGGTGGGTATGGGCTCTGATTGGTTTGCGCATGGAAAGTGCATTCCTAGCCGGCCAGGGTCAGCCAGGCTCTAGACATCAAAGCATCAGAAATACAGAAAACAACAAGGCATGAAAAATACAACTCCCCACTTTCAATCAGTCTTGTAAGTTTCCATGTGAAATCCAGATTAAGTTCCAAAAATGACCCATAAGGCCTTACCAGGATCTAGCCCTGGGCTGTGAACTTGACTCTTTCCCACCCTCCAGCCTCGCCCTTGTAAGTTTCCATGTGAAATCCAGATTACATTTCTAAAATGACCCATAAGGCCTTAACCAGGATCTAGCCCTAGGCTGTGAACTTGACTCTTTCCCACCCTCCAGCCTCGCACCCGCCCCTCTGTCATGCTGGTTCCCTGCAGTTCCCTGAGCACAGCAGGCGTGCTTCCCACTGTTGGGCCCATGGAACTGTTCCCTCAGCTTGGAATGCTTTCCTTCCGACATCAACTTGGTTTACTTTTCTATTTCCTTCAGGCATTTGCTTGTCTGTTGCTTTCTTAGTGAAACCTGCCCTAACCACCTACTAATCCTGCCAGCAACAAGCCACTCTTTTTTTAAAAAAATTTTTCTTTATTGATTAAGGTATTACATGTGTGTCCTTATCACCCCATTGTCGTCCCCCCCACACTCATGCCCTCACCCCCCCTGTTGTCTGTGTCCATTGGTTAGGCTTAAATGCATGCATACAAGTCCTTTGGTTGATCTCTCCCCCTTACCCCAACCCTCCTCTACCTTCCCTCTGAGGTTTGATGGTCTGATTGATGCTTCTCTGTCTCTGGATCAGTTTATGTTGTTCATTATATTCCATAAATGAGGGAGATTGTGTGATACTTACCTTTCTCTGATTGGCTTATTTCGCTTAGCATAATGCTTTCCAGGTCCATCCATGCTGTTGCAAATGGTAAGAGTTCCTTCTTTTTTACAGCAGTGTAGTATTCCATTGTGTAGATGTACCACAGTTTTCTAATCCATTCATCTGCTGATGGGCACTTAGGCTGTTTCCAGATCTTAGCTATGGTGAATTGTGCTGCTATGAACATAGGGGTGCATATATCCTTTCTGATTGTTGTTTCTGGTTTCTTGGGATATATTCCTAGAAGTGGGATCACTGGGTCAAATGGGAGTTCCATTTTAGTCTTTTTGAGGAAACTCCATACTGTTCTCCACAGTGGCTGCACCAGTCTGCATTCCCACCAACAAGCCACTCTTGACCCCTCACCCTGCTCCACAGATTTTACACACTGCTTATCACTTTCAATAATCCATACCATTTGCTTACTTATTGTGCCTATTGTTTATTGCTTGTCCCTCCACCACTACACCGAAAGGGGTCTTTATTTCATTCATGTGTGTACTTTAAGCAATTAAAAACAGTGTCTGACACAGAGTAGGCACTCAGGAAGTATTTGCTGAATGATGACATTATTGTTCTGAAAGTGGAACTATCCAGTTTTTTAAGGACACGTAAGACATGTGATTTTAATACCTGTAATGATGCCCATCATGGGAATGCAGTTGTGTTCTTATTGGATTAAATACTGAGGCACAGTGGTATAATGGAAGCATAAAGTACTGGGTTTCTTGCTTAGCAATCCATAAATCAGCCAGACCACTGAGAGACACGAAGTTTTGTCACCATTTCTGACTTTTAGGCTCTGCATATCGAGTTTCTCATGTTAATAGCACAGCTCCACAAGTAAAGGGCTATTGACTTTTTGCACGAAGCAATTTATTCTACCCAGTGTTGTTCATTGCAGCTCCCTTGGTAATAACTTCGTGTGAAGGGTTTCTTTTCACTATCAAAATCCACAAGGCTGTGCCCTTCACTTCTCTTGGAAGAATCACCTCCCCCTTCTTCCTAGAAGTAGCTCAGTGGCCGAAGGTTTTCAGCAACACCCTGGACTGAGGAGGGACTACCCTTGCCCAGAGAGGGCCCTTAATAAGTGTGGCTGCCTTGTGATTTCAAGCCCCATGCTAAGAAGGAAATGTCAAAATCATGCTGAAAAGTATTTTTCTGGAACATGGCTTTGAGAAAACAGGAAGTGATTCAGTGTAAAACTAATGACATTGATGATAGAGTCAGGTATTTAATGATGGTAAGGAATTATTGGAGAGGTTTAGGTATGAAATGGTATTGTGAGTTTTTAAAATTTTAATTATATTTCTTTCCATCACCCTCTATGCCCTCTTCCACCTCCACCCACCCCCTTGCAATCACCACACCATTGTCCATGTTCATGAGTTCTCGGCTTTTTCTTTTTTGTTTTTGAAAAGAGTCTTTGTGTTCAACAGATGCATATGGATGAAGTGATATGATGTGCGAGATTTGCAAAGTAAAATGAGAGTTGGGAAAGTGGGTCGGGCAGAGATACAACCAGACAGGCCAGGAGCTGGTTGTCGCTGAAGCTGGATGATGGGTACAGGAGATTTATTATACTATTGTTTCTGTTTTTTATATATTGCCAATTTTCAATTAACAAAACATGTTTAAGATATAGTTGTAATGGTAGGACAGTATTTCTTTTTCTGATTTTAAATGAAACATACTCAATATTTCATCATAAAGAATGATATTGGCTATTGCCTTAAAGGGTCTTCAAGTTAAGAAACTACCCTTCTGTTCCTCATTGTTTAAGCCAGAAGTGGATACTGAAGAATAATAAGTGCCATATCATGAGGTTATTATGTTTTTCTTTTCTTTTTTTGTATTTTAGAGGATGTTTATTAAAGCTGGGGACAGTGAAACAAGGAAGAGCCTAGGATAACAAGAGAGGGACTAGGTGGGGAAATGAGCCTGGGCTGGGCAGCTTTGGCTCACTAAGATGTCAGAGAAAAGGGAATCTTGGGGAAAGGTCTGGAAGTTGCCCTGGATGAACTGCTGCTGCCCTGGTTGCAAGTCTGGTGGGGTCCCTTAGAGTTTAGGAGATGCATGGCTGTGGGGGAAGGAGAGAGGGAGGGGAAGGGGTGGGCATGTTCCAGGGGAGCAAGAGCACACACTAGGATCTTTTATTTATTATTGATTTTTAGAGAGAAGGACAGGGGGGATAGGGAGAAAGAAAGAGAATCACAAATGTGAGAGCAGAACCTTAATCAGCTGCCTCCTGCATGCCCCCTACCAGGAGTCGAACCTGCAACCTGGGCATGTGCCATGACCAGGAATCAAACCAGCAACCTTTTGGTGCATGGGACTATGCCCAACCAACTTAACTACTCCGGCCAGGGCACGACCTTCGTTTTGAGGGGTTTTAAAGGCTGGACATTTAGGTCTTAGGGGTGTATCTCAATAGAACATTCATCAGTTTAATGCTGTTGTACCAAAATGAGATTTAGTCTCTTAACTTCATCTGTCCTTGGGTGTGGTTGGCAAATGGCACTATATGTGGTTTTTTTAATTGGACCTGTTGTTGTGATGTAGTCTTATTCCTACTAATAGTAAATGCCTCTTGCATTTTGCAGAAACCCCTACAAGTAGTTATCCTTTCACGCATCAAATATTTACTGAGCAGCTAGTAGTAAGTGCCAGCCCATTGCCGGCACGGGGGTACAGTAGGGAAGGAGATTAGGTAGGTCTTTGCTGACCCGAAGCTCAATTCTAGTGGAGAAGATAGACTGTAAGCAAATAAACAAGTGAACAAGTTCAGGTGATGGCAAGGCTGTCTCTGGCTTCTGGCAGGCAGCAGGAGAATCTGGGTCCGGGAGCCCGGAGAGGAGGAGGGGAACATGGTGAGCAGTACTGCCACCTTCTTTTCATTGGTGGGACTGCGCCCAATTTGGCTCCATCACCTCCATCACTTTCATGGTTTTGAGTCCCTTTCCTTTCTTGTATCTTTATATGGATTTAAGTCCCAAGTTCAGAGAGGTGGCCTCCAGGTACCATGAGGCAAACACCACCTGCACCAGAGCCAAAGAGGTGTAGATGTGAGCCAGGGTCTAACCTGTGCTAATTATCCTGTTAATAATTTCACTACTTGATCTGTTTAAAGACAAAGCCTCTTGGGAAATTAAAAGTAAGTAACCACCAGCGTGATTGAGCACCTATTCTGTGCTCATTCAAGTCTCACAACAGGCCTGGGTGGCACTGCTGTTCTCACACCTGACAGAGGAGAAACGGTGGGCCCCAGAGAGGAAATGCTTGTTCAAAGACACACTGGAAGCTGTTGGAGGAGCTGGGATTTGAACCCACGCAGCTTCCCTCCAGAGGCCTGTTTTTAAGGCCGTCTCTAAGGATGATGACTGCTGTTAAGGTGCTCTTATCTGTGTGTTCCAGGTTTTGCTGATCTTTGCCAAGGAGGACAGTCAGAGTGATGGATTCTGGTGGGCCTGTGACAGAGCCGGTTACAGATGCAATATCGCCCGGACGCCAGAGTCAGCCCTTGAGTGCTTCCTGGATAAACATCATGAAATTATTGTGATTGATCACAGACAGGCTCGGCACTTCGATGCGGAGGCTGTGTGCAGGTACCTTCCTTAATCTCATATGCTTAGTCGATGTCCACTTAGCCTGAAATGAGTTCATTTGGAGGTGTCTTTAGTTCCATCTCATATATTTCTAAAATATGTGTTGATGTTCCTAAGCAGTATATTCAGCTTTCTGTGATAAAAGCTGTCGCTCCGCCTATAGATTTATCACACCTTTTCTTTTTTTTGCATTTGAGTTCCGATGTATTTAGAGGTGTGAGCTGGGTGCTACTGAAAACTGCAGGATTTTCCCCCCTGAGTTTTTGCTCATGTTTCACACAAAAAAAATCACATTAAAATTCGCACAGTTCTTATTATACAGATATGGTTTGGATGTAAACCAGATACTTTAATCTTAATTATTCTGCACCAAAACGAGCATCAGAAATGTGTGAAATATACATTTCTCCCTGCCTGACACAGATGGGTGGATCCTACAGCAGTCACAAGGCGAAGGCAGCCACTTTGCAGCTGGAGAAAATCTTCCAGGGACCCACACCCCCACTTGTTTACAGAAACGCTTGCTCTGGGGAGGAAACGCATGCCTGATCATAAATAAACGCAGCCCTCAGAGTTCGCGCTGGATGAACCGATCCCTTTAGCAGAAGTGGAATGCTTTGAAGCGAGACAGGAAAAGGTCACTAATTAAATGCTAGGCCAGGGCGGACTCCAGTTACATATGGAGCTGGAATTTTCTTGAAAATAGTAAATGGCGTGAAAGGTAGGGGCATGGCTTCTTAGAGCCATGGGTACCCTGCCGAGAAATGAGGGGAAGCTTCTCATCGCTTTGCTAGTCTCTGACAGTTTTCCGTTTCCCAAAGAATTTTTCTTAAGGAACCTATTTTAAAATGTCTTATTGGTCTCAAGTAATTTTATCTTCCTGCATAGGAATATTTGCCCATTTATTATGTATATTAATAAATAAAATGTATCATAAAATATTTGGAGGATATTTTTAGTGATTAGGAACATTTCTCCTTTTTAAATGATTTTCAGGATAGAATTGGGTCCTTGGTAATTAAGTATGTCTTCTTTCCCTTGTCTTGACTGATTTTGTGGTAGATACAACAGTCCTTTGTGCATACATAGATTAATTTAAGATGAGCTTCTGGTGTAAAAAGAAGGAATTAATAGGAAGAATTCTTTTAATTCAGGCAAAGACCCATTTTAGCAGAATAGCATTACAATCTTCCTGGAATATAAAGACATGGAGTTCTGTTTCCTAACAAGTGTACGTCTGTCTTGGCAGCACAGAAAAGCAATGGGAGTCTGTGCAGTGCAGAAGCTGGTGCATGCCTGCTGGTGTGCTTCCCACTGTCACTTCACGTTGAGGGCGCCCCGATTCCTGACTGCCTGACTGCCAGGACGTGTTCCCTAAGATGAGCTGGGGACATGCTCCCAGCGAATGTGCACTCTATTGTCATCTGTGGTCCAGGATCCCTGGCTTTTGAGCTAGACTGGATCTTAACACACTTCCTTGGACCCCTGCCCTGTCGGTCCCTAGGCTCCCCCTTAGTCCTCTCAACCCGGAAGAGGTCCAGGTGCCTCTGATCACACCAGCTCCTCTGGAGGACTGAGAGGGAAGAGGGAAGCAGCCGGAAGCAACCCCCAAACCGGAAGCCAGTCTCAAAGAAGCTAAGCACGTGTGTGCTCCTGTCTGGTTATGTTCACAGCAGAGTTTGAGCCTCTTGCCTATGGCCCACCCCTTTGAATGTAGCCCAGAAGGTACTCTTGATGCCTCATTGGGGAGGAAGAGGCTGAAGGAAGGTGAGAAGTGCTTGGTGTTTCCTGAAATGAGAGCTCACCTCTGAAACACTGAAGTTTTTTTTCATTAGGTGCTAACTGGTATTTATGCTGAGAATTCAATGGGCTACTAGGTAGAGAATACGGGCAGCTTCACTTCACCAGGCCTGTCCTGTGTGCTGTGTGGGAAGTCGCCTGTGCTCACATTGGAGGCTGTTGGTGACTTATTCCTCCTGCCTCACAGGGAGTTCAGACACTGTCTGCAAAGGGATTTGCCATTCAGCTATTTATGCACCGGAGAGCCCGCACTTCCAGGAAGACAACAGCTGGTCATTTTCTCAAGCCTTCTACCCTCACAGAGGGAGGCCTCAAGGAATAGGAAGCGGGGAAGGTACATTTCTGAAAAAGGTTAGGAAATTCTGGAGTTGAAGAGGATCAAGCAGTATGAGCTGGCTCTCCCTGGGAGAGCGGTAGTGCAGACATGTTAACATGGAGAGGACCTGAAATCCCAGCAGCTAGAAAGAAAACTAATCCATGTGGTTTCACAGATTATCGGGAGCAGCCCTGACGCTTCTGTTCTTGGAGGTGGTGGCTCTCTTTTGAGCCGTATTAAAATAACCAGAGGCCAGAGCAAGGGGATGGGTCAGAACAAGCATTTGTATTTATACCAAAATTTGAGTAGGTGGCACTTTATTAACAGCTCACCCAGCCCTGGTCGGTTTGGCTCAGTGGTTAGAGTGTTGGCCCTCGGACCGAAGGGTCTCGGGTTCAATTGCTGGTTAAGGGTGTGTAGGTTCTCTGTTAAGGTTGTAGGTTCCATCCCGGCACCCAATTGATGTGTCTCTCTCACGTTGATTACCCCGCCCCCCCCCCTCTCTCTCACATTCTCTCTAAAAAAAATCAATGGAAAATATATCCTTGGGTGAGGATAAAAAAAAAGTTCACCCATTTCATGACCCCTGACCAGAATGATACAGAATCTGAGCTGTACCATTCAAAACACATTTCCTAAGAAGACTCCCTGACCTCTAAAGTCTACATCGTACGTGTTTTAATCCCGTTACGTTCCTAGGGAATAAACTAACTATATGCAGGTGGTGACAGTTGCCATGTTGCAACATTTCTCAGCCCCAGTCGTTTAAAGTATTGGAGGACAAACAAGGGTACAACTGGGAAATTGGGGTGGGTCTGTGTACCATTTAATACATTTTAGTCTGCATTTGTATAGCCAGCTGTCAGCAAGTACTTTCATTTTTCTGAACTAACTACTATTTTAAAAGAAAAAAGATCCAAACCAATTACCTCCCCAAGTACAAACTGATAACTAGAGAATTGTAGGACTGCCAGTTTTGTTTTTTTTGTTTTTTTGCAGAGTGGAATTTCAGTCAGAAAACATGGAATTTAAGTGGGATTTGATGGTTTTTGAAGTGGAAAATTGGCAGATCTGACCTATTGGATAATTGCCTGGGAGTTAAAAAATAATTTTTTTTAATAACACAAAGATCCACAAGGACATCTTTCTTTGTTGTCTTTCACATGGACTTTTTCTGTTTCTTGTTTTTTTAGTTTAATAGACTCTGTTTATTAAAGAAGTTTCAGGTTTACAGGAAAATGGTGCAGGGTACAGACTGTTCCTACAGCTCCTCTATACCCCCTACCTCCAGTTTCCCTTATTAACATCTGGCATTCACGTGGGCTTCGTTACAGCGTTTTTCAGTTACAGTTGACATTCAATATCATGCTAGTTTCAGGTGCACATCATCGCTGTTCTTTAGGGGAAGATTCGATGTGCCGTCTTCAGTGTGAAGCGGCTTCACATGGATTTAATGGAGCGAAGCCGAGGTCACCTGGTTTGACTTGGCACCTTCTTGTTGCAGGTCGATCCGGGCCACAAATCTCGCGGAGCACACAGTGATCCTCGCGGTGGTTTCACAAGCGTAAGCTCACCTCCCACCCCTGCTGGAAAGCGTCCCATTCTTGCCGAGACATTTGTCTGATGTCATCCAGTCTCGGAGCTGGAAAAACAATGGGCATGTCCTTGGCCCCACAGCAGCAACCTTCCATCTTGCTTTGGGAGCTTTCTTTGTTTTGCAAGTTTCTGGAAATATTGAGGTTTTCTCCCGGTCATATCGAATTGCTGCTGCAACATACACATCTCAGGAAAAAATGGTTACTTCATTCTATGCTGGAAATGAATGCAAAATGTGTGAAGGAGGAGATCTGGAAAGAACATGATTCCAGCTTATCTTTTTTTTTTTCTTTAAGGAAAAGAGATGGGAGAGAAAAAAAGAATGCTTGTTTTTCACTTAAGAGGAAACAAATGGTAGCGTGAGAACAAAGAGGCACTAAATCCACTGCAAGAAAAGGGATGTGCAGTTTATGTTTTGGGGCAGTTCTGTGGCTAGGAGCAGGACTAGGATGCGTGCCAATGCTGGAAGGCAGGAAAGAGGAATTAAGCTGTAGGTACGAGATTGTGGGATGAGAAACGGCTCTGCTGGGTTCCTTGTCTGAAATGGCCAGCACTTAGAATGAAAGATCTAGAAGGGAACAGTTGTTTGTACAAGCCACAGTGGTTGGAATCTTTGCAAGTATCAAATGTTATACTCAAGTAATGGCCATCATTAGCTTCGGAGAGAATAAAACCTTAATTAGGGCCCAGGATCCCTGGACTGGGACCCATGTGGCAAATGGCACAGATTCTGCAAGGAAGGAGCTGACAAGCCAGCAACTCGGGAGGGTGTAGGACTCCCCCAGGCCAGCCCGGGGCAGGGGAGAGCTGAAATACTCCATTCCAGAGCCATGTCCTGACTTCAAAGTTTTGGCCTAACCAAAGACTTCTACTGACCTGGGGCTCCTCGCGTCTCTTATTCAGAGCTGTGTCTTTTCACTGTGAGACCCGCGACGGGCTGTGGGGCAAGGGAAGTGCAGAAACTGTCCCCAGTGGTTCCTCACCACTCGCCACGCTGGTGGGCGATGGGGCCTCGAGGGGAACGAGGAGGAGGAGAGCGAAGATGCGCAGTTGTCCTTGTTCAGCCCTTTGGCTCGTGTTTTATCTGTGGGGACCCTGAGGTCCTGGGCGTGGACACCACATGGGCACCAGGCCCCACAGCGTTGCCCCAGTTCTGAGTTTGTCCCGCTCAGCATATGACTTAGAACATTGTTAATACCTTTAGAGACCATCTTGTGCCCGTCCTGATTTATCAGTCCGCCAAGGAGAACCCCGAGTTCCAAGAGAAGGAGCTAGGGAAGGCGGCCCCTTCCCACAGGGCGGGCTCAGCTCCAAGTAACGACCCAGATAAACACTGGGGTTTCCTTTCCTGTGTTCTATCTGCTCCTCCACCCAGTCCCCTCTATTCCATTCTCCTCCCCTGTTTTCTAAGGTGTATTCTCCACGTTACTTGCTGGCTGTCTCAGGGAAACCTTTTCTCTGTCATGATGGTGCCAGCCCTGCATGTCTCATGATAACCCACACCTTGTACTCAAACTGAAGTTCTGAGACCCCACTGTAGACTCAGTATAGGAAACCTTCCCATGAAATGAGTGGCAGTAATCAGTTTTTTTGTTTTCTCTTCTTCCTTTCTAACTCGGCATTCCTGGTGACATATCTTGCCCATTTGGCTATTGGCTGCGGCAGCTTAGAATGCCCGTTGCCTTCCTCGAGTTGAGAGTTGGACCCAGCGAGGTCTTGGGGGGTGGGAGTTGTGCTTTTAGAAGAGTTGGGGACGGCAAAGAGGACAGTAGTCTCTGGGATGAGCATTGCCCCTACTTGTCCCTCCCTTGGTGGGACTGCCCCGTACACTTGCTCCAACTCCAACGGTAGCCTCGAGTGGGGGCAGCCACTCGCGTGCACCTGCAGCCATGCTCTCAGGCACACGGCTGGAGTTTTCTCTCTACCATTTTGTTCTTTTTACATCTGGATGTCAGGTGTGGGAGTCAGGGTCCTTGAAGGCAGGTGTACCCGTGGGCACATGCTGGCCAGGAAGTCACTGTGAGAGCCAGCGCCACGCTCGCCTCATTGCTCTCTCTCCATGTTTCGGTGTGAGGAGCCCTGGTTTGTATCTGTTGAGTGACCACCTTTTCTGCTTTTCTGCAGATCGGGCAACCATGAAGAGGCCTCAGTCCTCCCTCTTCTGCATGCAGGCTTCAGCAGGGTACGTAGCCGCTGGCCAGCACCTCCCTCTGGTGCAGGCACTTCTCCTAATCCTGACTCTCCCAGCACCGCACAGGCCAACATCCATGCATGACCCTAAGCCCCAGGGCCGGGGAGGGAGGGAGGAAAGGAGGGAGGGAGGGAAGGAGGAAGGGAGGGAGGAACTGTTCTCATGGGATGATAACGGGCAACTGCTATTCAGACGTCTTTTCCTTTTTCTCTCATAACTTCATATATCTTAGCGACTGATACATAATGACATAAAAACACATCTTAGGTCAAAATCCTGTCGTCCCAAGGTTCTCTCGTTTAGTCCAGTTGGCTAGATTCATTGTGTGCATGTGATTATGTGTAGGTGAGTCCACTGAGTGGGCACCCAGGCCTCGTGTTGGTCAGGGCTGGTCAGAGCGTATGCCCAGGGCCAGGCCCAGGACAGCCACCGTATCCTGTGAACTCCTGGTTTAAATCCTAAGTTATTTGAGTGACTACATGAATCAGACTGCTATTCAACTTAATAATGAAGATTGATTACTGCAAGGAGACTTACCAACAAACTAAACCCAGGCTTCCCTGGCATCTCCAGGTCTCTTGATGGGAGCAATCTGAATCTCAGATGGATGGAGCCATGCATCCTTTCCTTCAAAGATAGGACATTGCCCGTGCCTGTGAGCTATGAAAATTCCTTTGGGTGCTTTAAGGAATGGTACCTTGCAACCCCTAGTTTAAAAAACAATCCCGTATTTGTGGTAGACCACAGAGAAGCAGAACTGAGAAATCACCATGTGCAGCAGTTTTGTGCTTTGGTTGTTTCCTGCGTCGGAGTGGAGCAAAGTGCTCTGTGAAATAGTCAGGTAGCACAGTGGTTCAGCAGTGTCCGAGGAATGAGTGCTTCTCGTTAGCGGTATCACTCACCGAACTTTCATCACGTCTCAGAGGCCGGCATTTGGTGTGAAGGCTGTTCTCCACGCTGTATCTTAGTGGGAGTGCAGAACAGTGCTTCTGAGTTCTGCAAAAGGAATGTTGGTAGAGAAGCCTGAGACTTCTTTTCTTCACTTACAATGATCATTTTCTGAGAAATAACCTAAAGTCACCCACAGGTCCCATAGGGATACAGTGGGTTTAAGGTTGAACACCCACTGCACCCCAGGCCAACATGGCCCTTGACGTCTGAGGCGGGACCTCTTGGAGTGTGAGCACGCAGGTTCTCCTCACCCCCTGGGACCGCATTACTAAGGACGGCGGTGACACACTGTGGGTGACATCCTCCAGGCCCCCCGTAGCTGCTGTCGGATGTCCTTTTGGGATTTCGCTTTCAGTTCAGTGTTCCTGCCTGTGACTGGTATAGATTGTCATTTGGAGTGATGCTGGGAATTGTACTTCTACTCACAGGAAAGCTTGGGGAAAGCAATGGACCCTCTTTGGGTGCAATGTGATTAAGTAAATTTAGGAGGGAAACGTTTCGTGGTTCCTTTTTTACGTGCTTTATAACCTGTCTGTGCTGCTCTAGAAGGTTTCGTTGCCCTCTGTCCGGATATGGCGATGCTTTCTGCCGTCAGCCTTGCTGAATAAAACCCATAGTAGGAGCATGAAACACGAGACCTGTCAGGGACACCTGTGTTCTTTCGTGCTGGTCTGATGGAGGCCTTCTCCGGCCAGGTCAGGGTGCCCCCACAGAGCTGGGGCACTTTCCCAGGGAAGCACATTGCACCTACCAATGCTTTCCCGCCTGAGTTCCTGTGAAACAAGATCAGTTGAGATTACTCTCCTGGTGGCTACCCTCCTTTTTTGGGCAAAACCTTGTCTTTGGCAACACTCTACCCGACCACCCATCCAACTATGCCAGAGATTCTGCCTTCCGTGAGGTGGTTTCCCATCTCTGAGTTGTTTTGATTGTATGAACTCATCTGGTGAGACTCAGCCTGTGTTGCTAGCCGATTGGCCAGTGCTTCAGACTCTGGGTCCCTGCGTAGGGATCCAGGAACAAACTGTGCCCTGGATATTCCACAGCAGCTCCCTGAAGCCTCTCGCTGCACATGAGGGGCGGCTGCATGCTGCTCCGTGCACTCCGAGCCGGTTCGAAACCAGTGCCTTCGCGAAGGGCGAGTGCAGCTGTTTCTATATCAGCCTTCGCATCCCTCTTTCTCTCTCTGAAATGGTGCACAGTCCGTTGAACAAGTATTCCTGGAGCACTGACATGTGCATGCTGCGCTAGGCGTGCCGGTCAGACACAGTCCTCCCTGGAGCGGCTTCCTGGGGAGAGATGGACAGCTAAGATTTAGTATTAGTTCAGCTCCGTTCCGGGCAACTTATTTCATCCTCGTCTGCAAATGAGAGGCTGGATATTGTCTTCATTTTTGCAGAAGAGAAAGCAGGTGAAATAGCTTGCCAGAGCTCACACTGGCTGCAAAGTCAAAATGCCAGCTCCGTGCTGGGCCTACTAACGTCGTGTTTCTCAAACTGTCTGTGGGCCTAGTGTGCCGAACGCTCTTAGCAGGTCTTCCTTGGCAAAGGCTTCTGTGGTCAAGTCAATTTGGGAAATCAGTGAGGCCTCTCCCCTCCCTGCAGCCCTGAGCATGCACAGCCACGTCGGCAGCACGGCGCCCGGGCCTCCTGAAGCCGGCAGGGCCTGTGCTGAGGAAGCAGGCCCACAGTCCTGAAAGTGGGCCCGGAACCCGAATTGTTAACCAAAGGCCCAGGAGAAGGATGTTGAAGTTGGAAGACCACCGCTTTTCATTCACTCAAATCATTTGAGATAGGGGTTCACTACACTCTTGAAAAATCCCCTAAAGATAAGGCATCTTCCATTACCTTTAGTCCACAAAACACTAAGTACCAATTATGTACAAAGTGCTCCAGTGTTTAGAAACCATCACCTACAGAAAGCTGTTTGTCACTGCAATGGGAGTTCTTGGCTTAAAGAAAAGTCAAATATAAAGAAAATCATTTCTTAGAGAGGAAAGTGAAAATGTCACATGGAACACGCAAACGCACAGCACACTGAAAGCCCAGGGGAATGAGCCAAGTTAACAACAGCTGGAGCTTGTGATACTGTCAGCGACTTGGGGCTTTTCCTTTATGTTTTCTGTACGTTGCACACTAAAATTGATGTGCATTACAGTTATAATTAGACATAGACAAGCGTGACCCGTCCAGAAGGTCATCCTGAACCCAGCATGTTTAACTTCACCAAAGAAAGGGAAAGTGTTTCTTCCTGTGTGTGTTCATGGCAGAATCCCCTTTCCTTCGACCCTCCCAGCTTCCACCTGCAACGGTGGGGACCCGTGGCACAGAGGGTCGGGCTTCAAAGGTGCTCCCCAAGGAGAAGCCAATCACACTGGAGAGCGGGTGTGTGTGTGTTGGGTGGGGAGGAGGGGAGACGAGGGAGGAGAGTGCAGTGGGCACTCAGAAGGTGAGGAAGGAAGCGAAGAAGGGCCTCTCCCCTCGAGACCATTCGCAGTGTGGCACGCACCAAACACATCCAGTGTTGGCTTTTAGAAGACTTTTATTTTATTTTTTTTTATTCTTTCTTGTTTAAAGTATTACATATAGTATTACACATGCCTCCTTTTCCCCCAGTGACCTCTGCCTGGCCCCCCCCACCCCCCAGAAGACTTTTACGAGTGCCATATAAAGCACAGGTGTTTGTGCAGTTAGCAAGGTTGCGTTTATTTTCCTGTCAGTATTCATCATGAAGTTTTCCCACCTTTGTTACAAAGGGAGTTAAGCATACAATAGCCCATGCTGTGTTTAAACAAGCCTTTGAAACACCTTGACAACTGTTTGATTTCATCTTATCCACTAGTTGTCTTATGTAACTGAGTAACTTGGGTAGGGGGAACTGTTAAGCCTCTTTATTTGACTCTTAAAGAAGTAATTGCATCTGTCTTACTTGTTATATTTGCTTTCTTTTCAGAGATTTGTGGAGAACAGCAGCATCATTGCCTGCTATAATGAACTGATTCAAATAGAACATGGGGAAGTTCGCTCGCAGTTTAAACTCCGGTATGTAGCCCAACAAGACGGGACCCGGGGTGGCAGCTCTGGAGGGGAGCCAGGGTCCTGCGCACAGGCTCCTGGCTCAGTCGCAGGGGCTGTGAAGCCGTTAAACAAGTAACGGGAGCCAGTTCAGCAGAATCTAAACTGCGAGCCCTTTGTTATTATGAAATAAATTAGAAGCATTTCTTATTTTGGCAGTATTTCCCACTATTTACAGCAGTTTTAAAATTATATCCTGGGAAAAGTACGGTTTCATTTTTGTACAAGTAGGTCGAGATTAAGAGTAGCCTTTCAGGATTACTTTCTACTTACTACTCTCAACAATTGTAAATTCCTCCATGGATTGTTATGGATAGGGGCAAACCAATGGCCATATTTATTATGCTAACCATAATAATTGCTATGTAACCGCGATAGCGATTTCACGAAGCCCGTTTGTGGCCTCCAAGCATGAAGTATCTTGAAGAGGCTGATTTCAGGTCTCGAAGCAGGTATAGGGTGCTTTACAAGCAGGCTGCTCTCTGGTGCTCCCTTCTGGGATGGGGTCGTCTGAGGGTCTGCCCAGAGCTCTGGGCCGTGGGATGCTCTGCTCCTGGGGCATCTTGGAATGCCAAGGCCTAGCTCATGCCTGGTCTGGCGTAGGCTCCACTCCAGGATACTCTCAGGACCCTGTTTTTTCAACTTGTCCCCCTCAAGCAGAGAAAGAGGAGCGGTCTGTGGAGGCTCTCCCCAAACTATGGTCCTCAGTGGCTCGAGGCCCTAGGATGCCAGGAAGTCCCAGCCTGGCTTCCCCCTCTGGCCAACTGCAAGGTCAGGAGGGTTTCAGGCTCAGCAAAAACTGAGAAGGCATCTCACTGTAATGCTTATACTTCTTTTTATCTTGACGACTGAATTTGCATTCAAAGGGGGGCCAAACCCTTTCAAACTTAATTTTTCTCTGACATTCTCAGTCTCTTGGGATTAAAATGTATTGGCATAAACCCACAGAGGCAGGTCCTTCTGGGGCTCACCTGGGCAGGGAAGCTGCTTTTTGGTGGGTAGAGAGCTTTAAGAAACAGTCACTTTCTTAGGTGGGAAAGTAATTAAAAAGAATCTCAGACAGTGGAAATTTAGGTATTTTAACAGGTTTTGGTGAGGAATATTGCCAAAGACTTTTGAATATGTAAATAATTAAATCCCTTGGTTTCTTCGTATCCACATATTTGTTAGCTTCAGAGAACTTCATAGAATTTTTCAAGAAAAGCACATTGCCTTTACTTCAGAAATTTATGATTTTTATTATTGTGCATTGATGGTTTCTGTTCCTGGAGGTTCCTACTGTTTTTAATTGAGGGTAAAAAGGCTTTGTGTTTTTTAAAAAAAATGTTTCCACAGTGAATAGAATTAGAAAAAGAGGGTTTTCATTTGGTTTAAATCTTTCACTGTGTATGTCATATCTACAAAAACATGAACAGATACCTTATTGCTTTGATAGGTAATTTTCTCCTTTTACTTTAAGTAATTGTTTGTGTTTTCTTGGGCAACATTAAGTGTGATGGCACACGCCAGACATCAGAGTGAGTGGGCGGAGGCAGAGCTGGCAGCTTGAACTAAACATCCCCAGCCATCAGCATGAGGGCTTAAAGAAAGGGCTTCTGGTTCTGGTGCTAATGAAATCTGCGTAGAGCCAGGGCCTTAACAACTCTTCAAGGTTCATCAGACTCAAAACTTGGCAAATTTCTGAGGACCTAACCCTGTGCAAGTCCCAGGACTTCTCCCTCTTCGCTTTCCTGGGGGAAAGGCTCAAGTTCTCAGTACAAATCAGTGTGCAGTTGGCGAATGGACTTGCCTCAGCAGGCAGTGGCCCTGGGAGGAGGGCTTGCCCAGCATATCCATCTCCTTACCCCGCACCCAGCTGAAGCTTGGCTGGCAAAGAGCCTCTCTTCCCAGCCATGAGCAACCAGCATGTGGGGAGGGGCCTGAGGGGTGATGTGTGTGTGGTGGGGGAAGACGGGAGTTCTCCACCAGAGAAAGCCAGAGGAGGGCTGAGTGGTCTGCTGCTTCTGTTGCTTTTTGGCTGTTCTGCCTCAGCCGCCTCCTGTTCTCTCCCCTTTTTTGGAGGAGTGGGGTGTGCCCAGGGTTTGACTTTCCTTGGGTCAGCCAGATCTGGGTCTAGTGGGCGGGGGCACGGTGACCCCAGACCATGATCTCCCCCCTCCCTAGGGCATTCAAGGACCTGTAAAGCCTCTACCTGCACCCCAGAGGCAAGCAGGCGACTGTCACTCGCTGCCAACGAGAAAACGAGGCTCTTTATTATACAATCCAGAATAATCACAGTCTAATTATATAATGCTTCCCCTGCAGTTCCGCCCCCAGCTGCAGCTAAATCTGTGGCATGACTGGCATTCTGCAAGGACGGTCTGTGCTGCAGGGAGGGGTTAGATGTTGAAGGGGCACCTTCCCGTCGGGTCTTCATGTGTGGCAACCACACTTAACCACGGGAAAAGCGAGGGTCACGTGAGCAAACAAAACCTGTCTAGTTTTAAAATTCCATTTTATAGAATAACTCTTAAAAATAGGAGAGCTACATCTCGTTTCTGAGAGTATTTGATGAATTGCTTTCTAGAACAGAAGAATTCATGAATGGGGAACGCCGAAGGAAATGGGGGTGAATGATGGCCATTTCTCTCTTATCCTTACGCATCTTCATTATGAAGACACTATGTTATCCAAAATACAGATAGGATTTACTACTTATTGGGAGTTGAAGCCGATTATACTAAGGCAAGACCGGCTGTGTGTCATCACTAGTCTGATCTGTTATCCAGGAGTTACACCCAAATCAAGTTTATTTTACTCCAAGTCTTACGAAGGTAGCAGTCCTCAGTTTTAGAAACATCAGTTTCTAAAAGATGGGCAAAACGTTGTATTCTGTGGAACCCTGCATCTCTGTTGTGAATGGACGTTCACAGAGAGCTACCGACACGTGGGCTCTGCGTGACCGCCTGGCGTCACAGGAGAAACCCAGCTGTGAAGGCTTCGTGCACAGCCCAGCTGCACTGCTGCCCAGGAGGGTGCCGACCTTGAACCCATGCTGCCTCCCTCCCCGCTCGCTTGCTCCCTATCCCTCCCAGACCCCTGCTGGGATGTGGCTTTGTGTTCAGACTCTACAAGCCACCACCTTGTGCAGTCCTACCCTGTTCCAGGTGGGCTGTGTGTGTGTGTTGAGTCGATTCCAGAGAACCTTTGGTAGGAACACAAGAGACTGTGGAACTCAGCCAACTCAGCCACAGTTGACGGAGGAAAACACTGAGAACCAGGGAGACTGGACACGATTGGTCACAGCTCCGCAGTGTGTCGGCTGTAGCGCTGGAGTAGAACCCAGGTGCCCCGCTTTCAGTCTGATGCACT